ACCCTCTCATTTCAAGGCACTTTAAATTCCTTAAAAAAACCCACCTTTTTTACTTTAAACTACTTACTTTAATTTACTTTAAATTGCTTTAAATTGCTTTCAATTCCCCTCCCCAGCCCCGAGCAGCCAGGTCAGCCCTGTGGCCCTGTCCGTGTTCCAGAGGCTCCCTCGGAGCACACGAGGTTCCTCCTGCCCCTCAAATTCCAGGAGATCATCGACCTGAGAGGAAACCACAAACCAAAAGGACTGAATGGTTTGTGATGCTGCCAGAACAGCCTCGATATTCCTGTATTTTGAGCAGGTCCAGCCTATAAATCCCGGGATTCAAGGCGGGGGCTCCCCATTCCAGCCCAGCTCCTCCTGGGATGGAGGAACAACTTCCTCCCCCTACAGATAATTCACCCGTGGGCAAGGCAAGTGTGAGAACCAAGGGTTCATTTTTTTTCCTTTTCCTAGTTCTTTAACCTCAGTACTAATGTAAAAACAAAAGTGTTTTATTTTTCTAATGGTCTGGCCGAGGTGGGAGCAGCCACAGGAGTCGTTTCTGCTGCCAAGGGGCTGGTCGGGAGAGGAGCACAAGGACCTTCCACGGGTGGTTTTTTGGAAAAAAAAAACCAACAAACAAACTGATTTTTCTGAAGGGAAATAGTTTGTGCTCCAATGCAGAGGCAGACCAGGCCCTGGGGAGCTGCAGGAACGAGGACAGCTGGGATCTTTTGGGGTTTTCCAGCAGCATGTTTAACGTTCAATATGGACTAAATCCACATATCCTGCATTAAACAAGTATTACAAGTATATTTATTTCCTGTTATACCCCTTTTTACTTAACCTCTCTAGGACATGTTTGTATTCCGAGGTCAGTTCCTGCATGGATCTTTATTTTTTCAGCAGCAACAGCAGGTGAAACTCCCGGCTTTCCTCTCGGGGACCGAATTTTGGGAGCTGTTCCGGGACGCAGCCAAGGGGGGAGAGGGTTTTGTACAATTCCTGTGAAGATGCTTCACATTTCTGTAAAGATAAATGAAAATAAAAGAGCTGCATGCAGCAACAGGACAGACTGCTGTTGGAGTTGGTAAATTTTTGTTGTTGTTGTTGTTCTCTGGGAGCAAACATCACTGTTTTTAAAATCCAGTGGCTTTAAATGAGCCTCAAAATCGGCTCCTCCAAGCCTGGGATGCACCAGAAGTTTATTTTTCAGCCTCAGCTTTTAAAGCTCTGAAGGCACAAAGGGCAGCTTAGGTTGCCTGGTGTGGTGCTGTAGCAGTTAAACATCATTTAATTAATTGATTTAATCCTAATTTTCTGCGATTTAATAAATGAATTCAATTTTGTGGGTATTTAACTAAGGGTTGGTCTTTTTTTACTGATGTTGTGCCAGGATTCAGTGCCTGTTCTTCCACCTCCCAACACTCAGAAATTTCTCACTGACTCCACAGTTCCTGTTATTTCCAGTAAAAAACCAAACATTTCCAGAACAGGCTCCACCCATACACAGGGATTTTAACCTGGAGATCAAATCCAGGGGAGCAGAGAGTGGTTTTATTAAACATTTTGAGCAAATACTGTGAAAATCTATTTATTCAAAATCATACAGAAGGGCACAAACAATATCCCTTAAACAGGGAAGAGAATTCTGGGATTAACAGGCAGGTGGGAAAGCTGGAAGTGAATCTACCAAGCAGAAAAAAAATCCCTCTTAATTCACCTTTTAATTATTGGCTTTAAACAGGACAAATCTGGAGAGGGAGCACAAATTCCTCTCAGTTTTCCAGGACCAGGTGAATGACAATTATTGCCCCCAAAATCAGGTAACTTTAACACCACAACCAGCAGCTCTTACTGCATAAAACAGGATTTAATATTAAGTACAAAGGAACTTCTCATCTTTTTAGCAGTGGGTTCTTCATCTGGCTGCATCTTTTCCTCTCTCTTCACCTTCCACAGCAACAGAAGAGGAACCAATGCTGCAAAATGAAGCAAAATCTGTTTTAAAACTCTGCCCCAGCTGGAAAATAAAATAAAATAAAATAAAAAAAGAATTAGCTCCTAACACTGGAAACTTCTCGTGTCAGAGAAAAATATCTGGAGCACTAAAATATACATTAAAACCCGTGCTGCTGATAGTTTTCTCTGGGAAATGGAAAGGAAAGGGAATCAGGGAAGGATTTTTTTTTTTATTATGCTGTAAACTGGGGGGGTTGAGTTATTCCCAGGAATGGACAAAAAGCAGGAAGAAAAGGGGAATTTCCTCTGCCAAGGTTTCCATGTGAAAACAGGGTAATTCTGGGAGATTGGTTTGCTTCAAGCCCTCCTTTCCAGTGCCTCGTTTGAAGGGGAAGAGAGGCTGTATATTGAATTTTTAATCACCCTCGCTGCACACGTCAGTTTAAGACACTTCCCCAGAGGGTTTGTTGTGTTTTTTTTTTTTTTTCATCTCCCCCCTCCTCTAATAAATCTTTCTGAAGGAGTTCAGAGGGATGGGAGAAGAAAAAAAAACTCCTGACAGGATTTCAGGATGAAAGGGAATTTAATGTTTGGCAGAGACGAGGAAATAAAGAAATCAATCCAAACTGTAATTTTACAACAGGGATGTGGCCACGTCGAGCACTCAGAGAGGGAGGGGAGGGCATAAAAATGAGTCTTTGCGTTTCTGGAATTTCTCTTTATGCCACCCATCCAGGCTGGATTTTATGTAATTCAATTTTAATTTATATAATTGAATATAATTGATATAATCAGCGACTGAATTTTATTTCTGTCACTCATTCTCTCCAAATATTGAGGAACTCTCTGTCTGGGGACAAGAACAGCTGATTGTGAGATTTGGGGGGAAAAAAAACAAACCAAAACAAAATCAAAATAGCCCAAAAAGCAGCATTTTAATTAAGAAATTTTTCATTAATTTGACCTCCACAAAAGAAGGGACATCCCTGGAGGAATCTTCCCATCCCTGGAGGAATCTCCCCATCCCTGGAAGTGTCCAAGGTTTTTAAATTTGATTTTTTTTTTTTTTTCCCCAAGGAGAGTTGAACTTACCAAAGAGAAGGGTAAAAATGCCCCTTTTCACACCCTCACTGGAAACTCAAAATCTTCA